TAGTGTAAATATATGTGTAGACCACACGCTATAGTGTAAATGTGTGTGTAGACCACACGCTATAGTGTAAATATGCGTGTAGACCACACGCTATAGTGTAAATATGCGTGTAGACTACACGCTATAGTGTAAATATGCGTGTAGACCACACGCTATAGTGTAAATATGCGTGTAGACCACACGCTATAGTGTAAATATGCGTGTAGACCACACGCTATAGTGTAAATATATGTGTAGACCACACGCTATAGTGTAAATATATGTGTAGACCACACGCTATAGTGTAAATATGTGTGTAGACTGCATACTAAAGTAGCACCGATACTTGTGCAACAGAATCCAGATACAAGATGGATCAGTAAGCAAGTCTTACACAATATTAAATTCATACAATCTCTCCTAAAAAAAGGTAAACTACATAAAAACAGAACTAAAACGAAGGTAAACTACATAAAATTAGCACTAAAATAAATGTAAACTATATAAAACCAGCACTAAAACTATGGCTATACTAACAATTTAGGTTTGGCTTAGTATAATAATACCTTAACAATGTGGTATTTATGTCCAAACAGCATTATGGGGGCTGGAATGCCAACTTCAAGGACAGTTTTTACTGTCTGCCCCATTGATGTATTTTATTCCAATTATTTCCTTAAAATTTTCTTTGATTGATTTTTTTTTCATGAGCAGCCACCTTCCCACATCTGGATGCAGACAGCAAAAGGTGAAGATGTGGGATGTTGTGGGCTAGAGCACCCACATCTGCTCTTCTCTTTTTTAAGAATGTGAGGCCTGCAAAACTGAGATTAGTCTGGATAGACAGTGTACTCTAATGCAATTTGGGTCTCACTTCCACCAGTACCTCAAAAACAAGGGCACACTGCATAACTACCCGCCTAATCGTGTGTGCCCAAGTGATACATGTCTGTTTTGTAGCTGTGTTATTTTTATTTTCATGTTCCACTTAATATTACAATTATATATATATGATAGGGTTCCACTGCAAATAAATTTTCGAATAAGGGTCCCATGGTAGCATAAAGGTTGAGAACTCCTGTCCTATTGATTCCTGATCTATTATTTTTTTTAGTTACACCATTGGTACTTTGTTTTCCAGCAGTCTCATTCCCTCTCAATTTCAATGAATACTTCCACAGTTGCCCTTTTTTGCCTAACCATTGCAGAGGAGGTCAATATCTTGACATTAGAGTTATACTGGGTTTGATATAGGGGCTTTCTTGCAAGCTTGTCATCTTCTTTGTTTAGCTTTACCCCTGCATCTCCTGGCATGTACATTCAGGTACAATGCCCATACTGCTGAGTTTACAAAGAAATGCATCCCAAAAGGAGTCGAAGACAAGTTCATGGAAATTCATTGGCATTTTCCAAACAGTTTTCTATACTCTGCATTAACTTCATGTAGTAGTAGAAGTCTAATTTTCAATCAAATTACACATTTCATCCAAAAATAATTCTAAAGATGAAATACCAAAATATTAAAACAATTTATAGAATACTTCTCAAAGCATATAATAAAAACTAAGAACATTTTCCAAACTAAGTTCAATTTTGAAAGTTGGAAAAAGCGTATTCTCTATCAATGGCTTTAATTACAATGTAGATGCAAAATAATTTAATAAAATTTAATTTAAAAGCTGGTAAGAGTAATTATATTAAAAAGTAGATTAGTATATTCTACTTATTAGATACAATAGTCGCATCTGGTCTAAATAACCATATGTTTTCAAAAATTAGTACTGACTTTCAACTTAATATGGCATAGTAAATAGTGTTCTACTGTTAATATTTACTTTAATCCTGTGTATTGCTGCTAGAACTAGGCGATTACCTCAATTAATTGATATATTCAATTACCTAGATTAGTTTCACGTAAAATAATAGATTAATTAACATTAGAATTAAATCAATATCATGAAAATAACCAACTAATCAAATTTAGTGTTTCCAACTATTAATATTTTCATTATTCTAACTATTCAAGTCTCACGTGAGAATAATCGATTATCGAAATTCCACTAATCACTCAGCTCTAGCAAGACATGCCTCCAGTCCTCAGATACTAGCAGCAAATATAAGAGTTCAAGGGTTAAGGGTGTGAAGGTTTCAGCAACTCTCCAGACCCACTAATCACTCAGCTCTAGCAAGACACATGCCTCCAATTCTCAGATACTAGCAGCAAATATAAGAGTTCAAAGGTTAAGGGTGTGAAGGTTTCAGCAACTCTCCAGACCCGCTAATCACTCAGCTATAGCAAGACATATGCCTCCAATCCTCAGATACTAGCAGCAAATATAAGAGTTCAAAGGTTTCAGAGTTCAAAGGTTAAGGGTGTGAAGCAACTCTCCAGATCCACATACATGTGTGGAAATATTTTTTTATTTTTTTTTATGTGCCAGTAAAGCTTTGGTTATTTTACAAGCATGTTTATTTACTTCCTGTAAATCACAACTGCCCCTCCAACCCCAACCCATGTCCTTCAAATTTCTGAAAGGTTTGGAGACTATGCCTATTACCATGGTTACAAGCCAAACTGATTTATGCAATATTCTTGTCACGCCTCATGAGAATACCAAGTTCATTTTGGGTTTCTGAATATTGATCTGTAAAGAAAAATCCGTAAACAAATCATGTTTTGAAGCATTTGGGCTGGCAAAGAAAAGTTAAAAGGTTGAATTTTCTTTCTATGGAATAAATAATTGTATCTTTCAGTGCTCAAATGGTTAAGACCCTTACAGTAAGGAAGACTGACAATAGAAAACCTGTCATATTCTGGAACTATAATAAAACTAACTTGTTTGTAGACAGAAAATAAGCAACTATTAAAAGCTACTAATTTCTAAATATCTTCACCCAATAAAGTATTTTGGGCTGACCAATTTTATTTCAATGTCTTGTTAAGTGATTATAAACTATTTGTTAAATTGGTAAGGTTGGATTTTTAGAAAAACTATTCCTCCTAATAGGTTGTGTGGCATTTTGCCACCTCGCTAATAAATAAATTCTTAATGTCTTTAACAAAACTTAAATAATTCATAATTGCAATCAATTTGTAATTAAGTACAATCATTTTCTCTAAATGTTTTCCATTTTTATAATATTGAAATTACGTAGTTACACATTTATAATATCCATGGTCTCCTGAAGAAGTCTTCATGAATAATTTTTGTAAATTAAAACTGGATGATTCAACCAACTTGTTAACATATGCTTCACCACCTCAATACACTTGTTACCTAGTAACTTCAACATTTGACCAACCTGTTGACTGGTAACTTGACCAATTTGACCAACCTGTTGCATGGTAACTTGACCAATTTGACCAACCTGTTGCATGGTAACTTGAACAATTTGACCAACATGTTGCCTGGTAACTTGAACAATTTGACCAACATGTTGCCTGGTAACTTGAACAATTTGACCAACATGTTGCCTGGTAACTTGAACAATTTAACC